GGCGAAGCTAGCAAAGAGAAGCTAATGGCATTTGGCTGGTGTTGCGTGCATTTGACATTCTGGCAGTCGATATGCCATCGATAAATAGATCGGGTGATTTGGGGGGAGAATGGGGGGGGGTTGTAGGCCCGTGGGCGATTGTCAGAGAAATGCCAGGGATTTCCCCTTTACCCCCGTCTGGAGAAGATGATTTGCTAGGCCAACTTGCTGATAAAAATGCAGCACAAGTTTAGCTTTAAGATAAGATAAGCAGATCCCCAGATAAGATAACGATTTGTAAAATAAACCTGATTTGCATGGAAGCCATTAGAATGTTGTCAGCAAAGATTAAACTTATTAACTAGCTAGGAGCTAGGAAAAAATCGATATATATCGATATTTTAAAAGGATAAATCGATTATACTTTTTTTTTAAACGAAAAATGTCTTTTTCGATTTTTTTAAAACTGAATTTATAATCAAACAAGTTTAAAATATTTGCTATTTATATTGTAATCGATTTATAATCGTCTTTAGTAGAAATTAGTATTATTATTAATAATATAAAATATATATATATATATATATATAAACCAAACTCTTTAGCATTTATTGAAATTCTTTGACAACAATTGATTGCTAAAGAAGCTACAATTTACGATAAGAGGGTCCCACCAATAAATCGATTTATGCTGACAAAAAACCGATGTAATGGCAAGGGGAATGACCTGGTATCTGCCACGAATGATGATACCCGGGAAATGTGAGCAATGGAATGGAGAGGGAACTCCCTTTGCCACACATGTAACGATTCCATAAATTCCAATGCCCCCGAGGCGATGTCGGTAATACGACTACCTCAGTGGCAAGTGGCAGCTGGCACGGGTCCTTGGTCCCTGATCCCTCATCCTGGGGTTCTGGATTTCGGGTTAAAATAGGGTCCCTCCTTCCCGAATAACGGATAAATACCCGAGGGACGATTCGTGCTTGGCATTTTTCGGCTGCCGATTTCGCACCTCCTTTGGCGAGGGATCGGGTTTCGGATCAAAGGTATATATATATATACATATATAGGGATTAGGGTGAGGTTCGGGTATTGCACCTGCAATCCGGCAACAACTTAATTGAATTTTTTGAGAGGGGCAGCTGCTTATCGCCGGGCAATTAATTCCAGCGATTTGCTTAGCTGTAACAGGAGGGGTCCCAAAACCAACTCGAGATCGCAATATATGTATATATATGTATGTATATAGTTATATATCCCCATGCCAATCCAGATCAAGGGGAACCGCTGTCTCTACGCTTGGGGGCCTGGAGTTCCTGGTGTTTTCGGGGTTCGCGTTGCCTGTCAACTGGCCACCACAGAACGTAAATCAAGAAATTTGCTTAGCCCACGCGCCACCAACTTGGCTCACAGCTTCAAGTGCACTGAGAGAACAAATGTATACTTAATTACAAAATAAAATATAATATTACGAAACAAAGAATATAAATTATTTTAAATTTTATTAATAATATGATTCAAGCTTCTTAAAATTGTTTAAAATTATTTTAAATATTTTTTCCAGTACCTAAATCCCTATAGCAATACCCCCCGCAGACCCCTCAACAGGTGCTCTCTATTTCTCTCTCCTTTTGCATATTGAAGAAAAGAAATATAAATAAAAAATAAAAATAAAATGCAAACCAAACACAAATGAAAACAGGAACGGGGCGCATGCGCCTCGATCGCTTTTTTTTTTTTTTTTTTTTTGACTTGAATTGGACTTTTCAGATCTGCCAGAGTTGCCACAAGGCACAATGGGTGGTAAATTGAAGCTTTCAACTTGCCCCGTCTTGATTTCAATTCGTTGGCGGCTGTTTTGACAATGTGCGCCGCTTTAATTGGAGCCGTGTCATTAAGAGCACGCAATGCGAAAATCTGGCAAAGTGACAGGTAATCCAGGGGGGAGGGAGAGGAGTATGGATATATTTGAATGGGAAATAAATATAGAAAACTTTAGGAAATAGAAATTAAAAATAATCTTAAAATTAAAGTATGCATATATACAATTGATTAATAAATTAATGGGAAATAAATATAAAAAACTTTAATAAATAAAAATATTAAATAATCTTAAAATTAAAAATATATTTAAAATTGGTTAATAAGTAAATAAAATGAATTAAATTTTTAAATTATTGTGCTCATGTTAAAATGCAAAAGGTCTAGAAGAAAACGAATTAAACAAATAATTAAATAAATATATAATCACTTCTTCAAATTATTTATAAACAAATTTCCTACTAAATTTGGTATCTAAAAGACCGAATGTATAATCTTATTATTTTCTAAATAAAGACTCAAAAGAACTGTAGGCTTATCACTTCTTTAAATTGTGTTCACCGACAACCCTTTTAATTAAAATGATATCTACGAGATCGTATCTATATAGTATATATAGTCAAAACTAAAGCTATTTAAAAATCTTTAGATGAACCGAAATCACCAAGCAGTCGTGGCCGAGCGGTTAAGGCGTCTGACTAGAAATCAGATTCCCTCTGGGAGCGTAGGTTCGAATCCTACCGTCTGCGGTCTGGCATATATTTTAATAAATTTAATTACATTTTTATTTGTTACTTTCATATGTCCTTCTCTTATAGGTGATTATAAAATCATAATAATTATATCTTAATCTTATTCCTTCTAATTTACAACTTCTCCCAAATATTATATAATATTATGCCTTAATGTTCCTTCGTCCCCTGTCTGTTTTTTCCTCCATAACAAATCCTTTGACATTCGCTTTGAAAATGAGACCAACAAAAATTAAAAAAAAAAATCAAATAAAATAAAGAGGAAACAAAATAAAATTTCCTGCCACTTGGCGATAAGAAAGCAAACTTTTACCTTGGCTGGCACCCACTCACCATCACAATCGCCGCCAGTCGATGAAAAAGTTTTCGACAGGTTTCGGCATTTTAGGCCGAAATGCCACAAAAACAAGACCGAAAATAAGGCAAGGCAAAAAAATTCTGAGCTCGCTTTGCGACTCAAAACGACGAATTAAATACACTTAAGGCCCACTTTTATCCGAAATATATATTAAATATTTTAATTTGTTTTTATTAGCATCGACCTATATTTGTTAGCATTCGTACTAATTGCAGACTTGAGGTCATAGCTGGCTTCGATTTTATAAAAATCAAAGACTCGGCTTTAGCTAAAACCTCAAGTCTGCAATTACGAATGTTAAATATTTTAATATAAACAATTTTTTAAGTGTGATAAATCTGTAATCGAATGCGTCATAGTTTTATTTATTATTTATCGAAAGATATCGATAATAGGTAAATGTGATTTACTTATCGAAAGATATAGATTTATCGATGAATATATAATTTAACAAATTTTTTAAAAATCAATATTAATAATAAAATATAAATAAAAAAAAAATAAATAAATAAATAAAAACGAACTTAATATTAACTCAAGTATCAGTAATATTATTAATTAAATAATTAATTTGAGATCGCAGTTTGTTACACTTATAAAAACTTCTGTGAGTACATTTATCGACAAACTTATCGATAGACCTAGAACTAACGGTTTGTGGTTCTTTTTAATATTTTGTTTTATTTTAATGTGTTATTAGTATGACTTTGTTTTTTTTTTTTTGGGAGGTTACCATTCAGCATTAGGGTATCAAAAGTCGTCAAAATTGTCGCCACAAAAGTTCTGTACAGTCCGTCTCATTCTCTCTCTCGCATCCCTGCCTTTGCTGCCCTCTCTTTCGCAGAGCTGTGGCTTTTAACTTCTGTTTCTGTTGTTGTTAGACTTTGGGTCTGTTTCTTTTTCCTTTCATTTATTTTATTTTATTTTTTCTGTTTTATTTTTGTTTTATTTTTATTTTGGTTATTGTGTTTGTTGTGCTCGAGGCGGCTTCTACGCTTCCTTTTTGGCAGACGCCGTTATGTCTCAGAAAGTTTCAAGAAACTGGTTCCGTCCTTTTCCCGCCGCCAATAACTTTCTGTGTCATATTTGTGTGCCCTGTGTGTGTGTGTGCCTGCGACTGTGTGTGATTCGTTTTGATATAATTTATTGTAAAATTATTTCCGTTTTGCTGTTACTTTGTGGCTGCTTCAATTCCGGTTTGAAAAATAAAGAAATTAACAACGAAAAAGGAGTCTAGAGAATACTCAAAAACAGATATTCTTTTAAGTTTTTAAAACTTCAAAAAAAAATACGTAATTTATAATTTATCAATATAATTATTTTTGGTTGGTTTCACAAAAATTATAAATTATATATTAAATATTTTTGGTTGGTTTCACAATTTTTAAAATTATAAATTAAATATTTTTGTTTGGTTTGGAAAATTTCAAGTTGGTTTTACAACGAAAAAAAAACGTGCCCCATCAAGGGCCCCTTTAATTGGCGTCTATTTATGTCATCGCAAATAGCACAGATCGCACGGATCCGGTAACAGATCGTGAGTGACAAAGCCAAAGGGTTTGCTTAGCTTGGAGAAACCACGGATTCGAAACAATGAAAGTTGATATTGAGGAAAATCTTAAAGGCCGCAATCACCGCTATCGGGTTTAGAGCTCCCCTCATTACGCATATCGGGCGGAACTGGCGGACACTCCAAGCGCCGACTCCAGGAGAAGCACAGGACAGGTCCACATTTACATCCAGGTTTCCAGGGCCAGCTCACCCGCGGCCACTTCAAGCAACGCAACTGGGGAATCGGGGTCTGTCCATCATTATGTCAACGCTCTCAATGCGCATGTCAATCAAGATGAAGTGCCGCTGATACGTTCGTCTTTGGAAACCGATTGACTTTATCCTCAGGCCAAGTGCCCCGCCCTGACTCCCCCGAGGAGGGCCCAAGAGAGTTATTAAGGAAGTTGGTTTGGGGAATTTATTTATACTAGAAACTTTTTAATAATAAAATATCTTCTATATTGATTTAAATTCAATTAAAATATCAAGATATTATTTTTATAAAATTTACAATACAAAAGAAAGTCTACCTCCACCGCAGCCGGTAGGGTTCGAGAACCTACGCTTCCAGAGGGAATTTGATTTCAAGTCAAACGCCTTAACCACTCGGCCACGACTGCTTGGTTATGTAATCATCTATTAGAGATAACACTAACAATACTTATTTTACTCATCCAACACTGTTAGCACTTAGTTTTTGTTAAACAATCCAAATAGTTCGATAGGTTTTTTTTTAAATGGAATTATATTTAATCGATATAAATTTTAATTTTAGAAGTATGTAATTGTAATATTAGAAGTAAAAGTATTCACTAATGAAAAGGTATTTATTTATTGATATATTTAAATTAATTTATAATTTTTAAATTAATATTTGGTAAGATTTAAAGCAAAAGTTGGGTCTAGTTTAAGTTATAAAAACATAATTCTTGCCATATTCAAGTCAAAGTATCTTTTGCTAATTATTTTTTAAAAAATATTTAAGACTCTGCAACCATTTTTTAATAAATTTGTAAACCCTATATATCGACAAACACTTGCCTTGAACGATACATCAGCTTGGTATTACACAGAGGCTTCACTTAAATAATAAATGTTATAAAAGGTGAAACACTTCTCGTAGTCGCAAAAGCTTAGACATTCATGTTTTTTATGGCACATATCGTGGATTTATAACCATTTTTGGCATGAGCTCTGGCTCTGAATTGCTTTCATCCTCCTCCAACGACGACGACGGACGGCTCTCACTCATTTCAATTTATGAGAAGCGCCGAGAAGGGCTCCCTTTTTACCGTTACCCGTTACAGTTCCCTCTGGGCCTTGCTCCTGCCCCCTGCCCCTGCTCCCTGCTCTATTTTATTATTTGTGCAATCATTTTTTATTGTTTTGCTGGTCGGAGCTGATCCTGGCAGTGGCAGGCAGGACGAAGGCAGCAGGATCCCCCTGCCAGCCCTTTCTCCACTTTCAATTGTTTGGGCAGCCCCTGGCAGAGGTCCCCGCTTGATATTTATTTGTTGTGTGCCGGCTATAAACGTGAAATTTACTGCGGAATGTCATTTAAAGTACAAACATTCTGACTCCCCCTATAGCTGTATATATATTTGTATTTATTTCTTGTATTTTTTTGGATATATATATTTACTTGTATTTTTTCGAGGGCCGGACTAACGGTTTCTATGCACGCCAAATGACGCCGCTGTCGATGGAGCTCCCAAGTCATGGCTAAGTCACAAGTCCTTGATACCCTTGTAAATATTTTATAAAGTATTATCAATAAAATAAATATATACTTTTAAGAATATTTTATGAGCTTTTGAATTTATGTACTATTTTTTTTATTTTATTTTCCTTATTCATTTATTTTATATTTTTATTATATTTTTAATATATATAGTTTTCCTTGAAAGAGCATGAAATTCTTCGTTTTAACCTTCCTCAATTCTTGTAACTGTTCCTGTTTTTTTTTTTTTTTGTGTGTCGTATTTTATAATCCTTTTCCTCCATTCTGCTCTAGCCTGGGCCAGGAACAAGGCGCATTTTGTCTGTCTCGTCCTGGGATCGTATCCCTCTTCCACCTTCACCTCACACTCACCCACTGCTCTGTGTCTTTTTGGGCAACGGCGTTTGTCATTATGTGGCTGCTTCCGGATTATATTTTCGGTAGGAATTTCTGTTTATTTTGCACGTCTTAGCAGCTGTCGCCGTTACACACGACCGCCCGAGGACCTTGCTGTGCCCCCCGACCCCGTTTAGTATCCCTTTAATTTCGTCAAGTGGCCTAATGCCGTTCCACTAAGTGCGGCTAATCAGCTGCCAACAAGAAACAAAAAACAAAACACAGGAGATCCAAATCTGAAACGGATGTCGCCGGTTGTGGCCTCCTGCGAAAAGGACACGGATACGGCGCCAAAGGCTCGCCAAAAATTAATTATTAAGACCGGAATATATTTGGCGAAAAGGGATAGAAGACAGTGGCGTGGGCAGCAGAGATTGAGGGTTCTATTTTCCTTGATAAAATCCTGTGTACGCCCCTGCCTCCTCACTGGAAATGAAATAAAGTCCTTCTGGGAAATGGATTTATGCAGGTATCTGTCTGAGCTGCGCCTGTTTTACACCTGTTCCACAACCCCCTTGATCTTTGTCCTATGATTTTGCCCTTTTTGGGGTCTGGCCTTAAAATTGGCTGCGTGAAATATTTCTGTCTACATATATATATTTTAATACAGAATCTTTAAGAGTAATTTAAATATTTATTTACAAATAATAGAGAAAATAAAAATGAACCCTTTTACCGCAGCCGGTAGGATTCGAACCTACGCTCCCAGAGGGAATCTGATTTCTAGTCAGACGCCTTAACCGCTCGGCCACGACTGCTTCGTGTCCTTCTTAAGATCAAATTATGTATCAGAGTTCAGGTTAAAAATCCTTATTTTTATTTTTCAACACTGTCAGATACACTGTAAATAATCTTACAATAAAATATAATTATATCTATCGAATTCAGTTTTTAATTGAATAGAAAAGCAAGATCTATCT